TATCGGCGAATTCCCAAGTGGAAATAATATTGTGTTTTACATAGATTATACCTGGAAGACGGATACGGCATGATATTTTATTCGACTACCCCCATAGTGTAGGTGCAGTATAAAACACATACGAATGTAAATGGATTTTAAATGGAGCTTAGCTCTGGATTATATTATCCTAGAGAACTAGACAATACATTTAGATATTTATATAAAGTATATTAATTAGTATTTACTTTTAAGGAAAAAGTAACTTTTTGAAATAATAAAGTTGTATTGTACATTAAGTAGGTACTTACATTAATAATAATTTGTTATTAATGTCGTAACAACGTTTTTAATACACCATATCACTATAATTGCATTATTACTGCAGTCATGTTTATCCATAATATTATTAGCAACTATGAAACTGTATATTTATACAATTTTTTGATTTTTATTCTTTTCAATGAACAATTAATTATTTAATTTAGGGTAGTTCTACAATTTGTGATTTACTTTGATATTTTACATGTATTTAAAATTTAAATAGATAAACAATAACAACCCTGTAAAAAGTATTCTAAATAAATGTCAAATTTACATATTAAAAAAGTAATTATAAGTATAAATTCAAACGCCCATACTACCAATGAGTATTTGAATACATAAGCAACCATAATTTTTTTTTTTTAAATCATTAAACCAGTATGAATAAATAAGAATACAAATTCAGTTACATACCCATTAATCACGCTATAAACAAAACGACAACTTTTACTGGTTCATATTATAGATAACTCAGATATCTAAAAAAAATCCAAATATGTTAAATATGGAATTTATGGAATTCTACGAATATTGAAATCTGAACCGTACAAATCTGGGATATAAAGGTCCGGAATGCACAAATCTAGAATCGATCAAAGTTCTGGGAACGGTCAGCTTCGTCGGCCGGCTGCACTCGCCAAATCAAATGCCACTGTGTGGTTTTCTTGGTAGGGGGAGGGGAAATATCTGAACATAAATTCAAACCCGACATTACTATTACAAGGGTGGATCAAGAGAGATTTCGGCCCAGGAAAATAATAAAGTACCGACCCACACACTAATTTACCATTTGGAAAAATAATAAATAGTTCGAAATTTAATGTATACCTGTAAGCAACGATAAACCATTGCTAACGAAAAAACGACTCTGAGTGGAGTTCAGTTGATAGTGATGCTTTATTAACAATATATATATATATATATGCCATATTATAGTAAAATAATTAAATAATCATTATGTATTTTCTTAAATAATATTTGTGTAATGTTGTACCGATTTTCTCGATTTTCCTACGTTTTTCCGGGTTATTTACATTTTCTGGGAAAACTTTTGATAAAATCGAAAAATAACCTTCTTAAAGTACCTTCCCACACCGATTTTCTTTCAGAAAAAATGCTGCACTTAAAATACGGAGTAATATTTCTGGATAACTATTACACTTACGTATATAACATCAGGTTCGTCTGATTATCGCACCCAAATATAGAACATGTTTTCCTTTATATAATATGCCGTCAAAAAGTGAATTTTCAAAAAAAAGTGAAATTATCTGGTAGTTGCGCCGAGGTTGTCTAATATAATTATTACCAATTTCATAGCGTAACAATGGAACAAATAATATTCAATTTGTAATTATTAAACTATTTAGATATATTTAATAGTGAAAGATTTGCTTTAGACATCGAATTCTGGTACGATTATCGAGATAAATCATTGAGACAAGACTTTATTACGATGAATGCTATAAATCATATAATTTAATCGAATCATGTGTTTCGTTTTTAATTAAAACTATCTATCTATAGACTATAATTTCGACTATCCGTTACGGAGGTAAATGAGGTAAATAATAATATAATATTAAGAAACTGCCATTATGAATGTCCAATATTATAATAATATAATGTTTAACCTGCGTCGATAGCCGTGGCGATAAATTATAAAACTTTAAAGTATAATACAATATTATATGGTATATACCTATTAGATAATAAGTATCATGCACTTTAGCATCTATAAAATTATAATACGGTTTTTATAAATAATTTATTACGATAGATTTAATTTCACTAGTAGGTATACTAACATTTGAAAATAAATTTGCAATGAAATAATTCTAGAAATAGATTTTTATAAGTGTTGTTTGTTAAATGTTAAACAGTATATTATTATTCTCAATTCAACGGTTAAGGATTTTAAACCGAGGATGTGGTTAAGTATTTTAAAAGGAGTCTTAAAGTATATTATGTGTGTGGTTTTTTTTTGCTGCAGTTGTTTTCGAGTGTTATGCTTAAGAACGCAACATTAAACTCAGTGCAATGATGACATGTGCTTTGCATTCTACCATGGCGTTTTGTTGAATTTTTACGCTCTGTTAGTTACGGACTTACGGTTTTGGTTATTTTAACGTTAAATATATAATAGAACTTATACTGAATGAAAAATGAAACACCCGTGAGTAGCACACCGTCGTCATTACAATCAAATTGTCCTAAAATTATAGAAATATTCTTTGTAAAACAAGAAGCGACCGAATGTACCTACTATAACATAATATGTAATATTATTACAGTACGAAACATAGTAATATACTCGTTCTATGCTACAACTACAGATACTAATTCCAAACAAATGTTAAGATCACATCGTTGCATATACAAAACTTTACTGCCTTAATAAACATCGTTTGTTGGTCTGCAGAAATATCAAAAGCGTAATACATGACCCCCCCTTTTATTTTTATATAAAAATTAAAAAAATTAATATTTTTGTAAAACAAATACATTCTTCACTACACTCGGAATTTAAAAGCTTATCAAAAAATTACTACATTATGCTTAACTTATTTTTGCCCTATGACAACTTATAATGAACCTCGTGTTAAATGTTCAAGCATTTCTACTTCCTTAAATTATTTTATTTTATTAATTTATGTTAAGTTATGAATAAACAAAAAAAACTCGAAAATGTTAAATGCCTATAAATAGCTCAAAAATCACATAAATATTTTGTAATTTTTACGTCTAGAATAGGCTAAATTTTTTAAAACCAATAGATCTCTCGTTACGCTCCGAAACTAAAATGAAACATTCGAATATCTGATACTTCCTGGGGAAAATCCTATAGGTAAAAAACCATAAACTCAAGGCGAATATTTTTGAACTGTATTTTCGCGTTTAAATAAAATAATATGTTGAACGAAGGTCGCAGCAGCATTTTCAGCCATTTTGTAAAAACAAAACGTGGTGGGTAACCTTTGATTTTAGGCCACTGAAATAAATTACACCTATCATAACCAAATAAACGGAATGGTTATGTATTTTGGTTATTAATTAAGATTATTATTCTATTGTTTAGATAATCTATAAACTAAATAATTGTCTATTCTATATTATTTAAGTATATATTATGTAAAATAGCTTTTTCTAAAATAATCACGAATTATCGTTTATGGCCTGCAGTAACCTGTGGAGCCGTACAAACCTACCTACACAGACCATAGAGAAAATACACTCGATAATATTTCAAAACGAAAACCACGATGTTATATTTATATGTTTCGTGCCGTTACAGATAATACGAGTAAATAATAACACTACAGCCGCAGTAGATCTCGATAGTGTCCGATTTCTAAGCTTTTGATATGCCAACGTTTCGAAATACAATAAGATTAATAATAATAATAGTAAATCATAGAGGTCAAAGAAAGGCATAAACGTTACACGTGGCCCGTAAATACGACTCGGATGAATGATATTTATTGGGCCCAATGATGATAACAAAAGAAATAGACACTTTGATAAAACAGCGATATTTTTGAAAGGAAATTCAGAATCGAATAGTTATTTGGAATATAATTAGAACAGAAAATAAAAATTGAGGTAAGAATATTTTCGTAGAATTTATAAATCGTGGTAAATAAAATATCTGAAGCCAAAAGCGCTCGTATAAATTAGTCAAGGGGAGGAGGAAACTCAAATTTAAAATTGCTAAAATGACTTTGCTCAGAAAAATATTTTGATACCGAAGATTTTTCATTGCAAACAGATGTAAACTAAATTACCCTATTTATCCAGTGTAGTATAAAGATAAATTAAAAATTATCTCGATAAACATAAAAAAATAATATCTAGATTCCAGATGAAAATAAAGTATACATAAAAATATTTAACTATCTAAAATCTAAACAATGATAAATAATTAGCAACCTGTTTTCTATACAAAAAAAAAAGAGCTCAAGTGGCCTGAAAGGGCTTAGGTGGCTAAGCTGGGGGGGAGCTAATTATACCAAAATACTAAAACCAGATTTACATATCAAAAAGGTTCATGTCCGATTGCTGTAACTTAATAATTGATTAATAATGATTGATTAAAATTATTATTGTTATCAAACTACATATCGATACGGATTAAATAGTTACAATCTCACTTATTATTGTCTAATAAAGTTAAATATATTTGTACAAAAATGACGATTTAAAAAAAATTTATCCGGACGATTCAATCGCGTACGAGTTATTTATCCCGGATAAGATAAGATATCAAAATATCCCTATCCGGATTATGATCTACATAAAAAAAAAAAATTTAAAAAAACCCTGTACATTATATTCTGCATACCCACTTAACACCCGGACATCGCCTATACGACAGCGGCACATCCACTACATTTTTATTTCCCGTTAATTTTCTATTTTCTACATTGCGTATTGTCTGTACATTTTATATTTTCCATTCCATAATATTGCATTACATTTCGCAATTATTATTTTTTTAATTTTTTTTTCTGGCTTGTATAGCAAAAAAAAAACATCATCAATTTTTGAACAAGTTTGTTGTTTATTTATTTCCGCGCCAATTGTCCGTGTCTCGCGCGTTTTAAAGACGAAACGTTTTAGGGTAGGGAGTTTTTTATCGGTGGCCTTTCGGTATCGTAGCGGGCGGGTATAAAAGACCGCCGGTGCAGACCGGTTTCGTTCAGTGTACCCACGTTCAGCGTTTGCACACGTTCAACGTGTCTAGCCGACCACGCGAAACAATAATATCTCATAATATATCGTCGGGAAAAAAAAAATAAAATAAAACTGTACACGTGTACACGTTGTTTTGTGCGTTTTTTCAACTCTCGTCCGCGGTTGTAATTTTTTTTATTTTTTATTTTCTATTTTCTTTCCGCGTTCAAATCCCCGCGGTCCCATACTACTCGTCTGCATAACGAACATAATTATTACACGGCCTTTGCGGCACCGAACACGGCCCACGCATGTCCGAACGAAGCCAACAACCCGACACCGAAGCGCAAATGGACGAAACCGACGAGTGAGTATTTTGTTATTTATGTCGATCGCTTCGATTACCCGTTTCTCTCATTGATGAACTATAATTTCGTTTTTATTACTATTAATATTCGTCGCTCGTGTTTATTTCGGCCACTTACGTCTCGTCGAATGCCGACGGTTTCCGTAGCGGCTATCATTTTTCCGGCGATTTCGTCGACATTTCGATACGGATAATATTTTTTTTATTTTTTTTTTTCTATGTGTGTACCGTAATTTTTCGATCGATTGAACTACGAAACACCCGCGCAATATTGAAAACAAAAACAAACTGTTTGCTTAGGTTTTTCGAAGACGGTTCGGATTCCCGTTAAACGTCCTACACTTGTTGTACACCATCATCGCTAGTGTGTCATCACGTACTTACACTGTTTATTCTGTTGTGCGCGTCTACAATCGCCATCATAAATCAAACGCATAGGAACTGTGCACCGATGTTATCGACTTTGACGAAATAATAATTGTTACGCTGCGTAACCTTCGGTAAACCATTAAACACAATCGGTTTACATATTATTATTATTAAACCTACTTGTACCCGAACGTCTGATAATAACAAAATAATATTGTTTCAGCCGGTCTTTTATGTTATACAGATAACACGGACGCGTCTGTCTGGGCCATTCCGTTGCGTTTTCCTCCATATCGAATGAATCCCGTTATGTTGTACGGTACAAAAATAATATTACCGAGAATCGATTTTTCAGAAAAAAAAAAACCTCTATACTACAACACGTATTTAAATGTCACTAATTAATTTATTACTTAATGTAATTTGCCTGAATTGTATTAAATTTGATCGTATGAAAAGCTAACGTTTTACCGGAAGTTATTTCCAAAGAAAAATCGCACAGTTTTTTAACACATTATATCTAAAAAGAGCAAAAGTTTGAGTGGGCTAGACTCATAGATGACCATTTTTTTTTTTTCGGGAGGGAGTTAATTTGTGTGGATGGATTCGGAAAGGGAATAAGTCTCATGTTCTACTTTGAATTCTAGTTATCACTATAATAATGAAATTGCACAGGATACAGTAGGTATATCGTTTTGAAATTACCAACTATTGAGACAGAAGACACGGGTGATTTAAAGGCCGGACGTAAACATTGTAAATATAAAAATGCACACCCACTGTTTTACAATTAATTTTTAATAATTAAATTTCAAAAAAGTACGTCACAAAAAAATGAATTTAATTAAATTAAAAACAAATTAAGACAATTTGATCAGAAAAAAAAAAAAGAAAGGTCATTTGGTAGCGATTACTTCAAGGATTACTAATCTACTCGGTCTGCGTATAATCATGTTTTTGCTGTGTTGGCTCGTTCGTCGGACTGAGACAATAAATGCGGGTATCACGTACTCTTAACTAGTAAATATAATATACACAGGTAATTTCAGAAGTTTTGTAAAACGTATTTAAATGCACTAAAAACGTAGTGTAACCCGGGGCCCGGGATCGGTTGAAGAAAACACAACACAAACGCATTATAATATAACGCATAGTGCCCGTTCGAAAGCTTTTCGAATAACATTAACGTAATATTAATTGACAATATTGTCTGGACGAAATTTTATCATTGATAACAGCACGACGACACCGGTGGCCGCTCTCTTATTACAGCTGCTCTCTAATTTATAAACATATCCTGTCGCGAGAAATAGATTGTGCCCCGAGTCATCGTGAAAATGATTATAGTGCGGAGATAGGCGGCGAAAAACCTCGACAGGGTGAACGAAACAGCAGTAGGTTAACTCGACTGTGCATGGTGTTATACGCGGGCGGAGTGTGCGGAGAATATTATTAAGATGGGAAAAAAAAAGACGAAAAAGAGAAATGAACGTGAATTTACAGTGTCCACATACTCGTGACGGAAAAAAAAAAAAATATCCATATACCTACATATTATGTGTATCATCCACTAGAAGTGTATTACAGTCCTTATAATATTATATATATATCATCTTCGGTCCGTAATGGGAAAACGTTGAAGTGTGCTGAAAAAAAAAAAAAAGACCATCGTTTTTATCCTTTCCGCAAACATTCGCGGTGCCGTCGCCGTCGTGTTAGAAATCGGATGTAGGGATCGGGTTGGCGGATATAATAGTTTCCCCGGCTTTCGGATGCAAATCTGTAATCTGTAAGCTTTTCTTTCCATTGTCGCGGACGCGATCATAACTTCCGTCGCCGGCATCACACACCTATACCTAAATAATAATAATAATATGCAATCACACGTGATATATTTATATATATTTTTTTTTTTATTTATTAAATGAACGGTGTGCCGTATAAGTCGATACACATATTACATTGTACAGGGTGATCCATTTGCGTGGCTACACTCGATGTATTTCAAAAAGTATCCACTTTTTGCAAACAATTTTTTTTTTCGCAATTTAATATACAAGCAACCCTAAAATGTTATATTAATATTGATTTTTGTTATTTTCGGGGGTGAAAAAACTACACACTTTTGATTATCAATCTATATTAAACAGTTCCATAAACAGATGAAATAATAAGTTTAAATACATTTTGGTGTTGAAATTGTTGAAGTCTGTAAACCCGTTGACGACAAATCCCGCTTTTGAGTTTGCGTATGGGAAGAGTAGTGGAGTAGTAGTAGTAGCAGTAGAGTAGTTGAAACGCTGCGTGCCACCCCCTACACAATATCGAGTGTAGCTACTTAAATGGAACACCCTGTACTATCTGTTCAGCACGGATTTGCTCGTGCACAGTATTGAGCGAGAAAAAAAAATCGTTGCTATTCACCACGGGTAGGCCACTGTTGGCAGGGCCAGAATACGTCTAGATTACTCTAGAATAGGTCCTTGAATATGTTGCTCTTGGGAATAAATCCCCGCTTCTCGTCCTCAATTTCCGGCTTTGACAACTGGTAGCCACTGTGGGGTAACCTTCATCAGTGGCCAAGGCAACTGACAAGCTAGGATATACAAGGTAATTTAGTTTATATACTGTACGCAACAATAAATCACTATAAACGATAAAATGATTTTGAGCAAAACCGTATAAATCGTGTTTTTTGGGTTGGTATATCGGCATTTGTTGTTAGTTTTTAAAATTGTATAGAAAAACTGATGGAAATTGAGATATTTTTTTTGAAAATAAAGTTTTGGACGAGAAATCCGCATATTCGTTTTTTTTTACAGTATTTACTGTGAACAAATTTGTTTCGTTTTTACTAGCCATAAAGGTGTTTTCCGAAAGAAAAAGAAACACATCTTAGTAAAAAACTACAGAAGCTTTTACGCTACACTCAGAATCTGAATTTGAAACGTATCTACCCGCCATTTCGCGTTTCCCCGTGTCTTTCTAATAATAACGGTATTTTAGATTCGGGACGTATTTTTAATTTTATTTCATCCGTTTCACCGAAGCGAGTCATAAATCAACAAAACATTTCAATTATCGTACCGAAAATACCATAAACCACCGTGAGAGCCACTTTATATAGGTATGAATTCAGGAAACGTGGCTTTCGGGTAAGCACGGACCCGTTAATCTGCTTTTATACGGACATTTTCAGATTTTTTTTTTAGATTTTGTTTGCGCACAGACAAACAAACCGAAACGTTCTTTTACTAAACTTTGTTTTTTCTAGGAGCGCTTTCCGTCCAAAAGTTTTTTAAACTCTATAATCTTAATTATTACGGTTATATTGTCTGTTTTATTCGTCAATAATAAGAATTGTACTCGCGACATTAATTTTTTTTTTTGTTCATTATAACTTTTATGGGCATCGAAACAGAAATCCGCCGAACTACAGGGAATAATAAATAATAACTCGAAGTTATTGCAGTCTGAAAGTTTATGAGTTCTAAATTGTGCGAAAAATCGTCTGCTCTTTATTCGCTCAAAGTTGAAACGTAAAAGTTTGAAACCAATCTCGACGAGATTTGCGAATCATTTTGACGTATTGTATACGATTTTATCATTCCGAGCAAGAAATTATTAAATTATTAAATAATTATAAATAATTGAATAATCATTATTTTCCCGCGGGATATTAATCGATATACGCGTCATACGGTACGCAGTCCGAAGTCACTCGTATACGAATCGTACACAACAATTTCGTTCGCGGTTGTACATTTTAAATTCTGGCTTATGGTTTTACAAACATGTTTATTTATTATTTTTTTTCTGTGAATAACTTTTCTACCAGAGAACTTGCTCCGATTTGTACGTGTAACATTTTTTCTGAAAACAAATTTAACTGAAAAAAAACTATAAACAGGTTATTTATCTATTTTCTCAAAAGTTTTCCCAGCAAATGTGATAAATCGAAAAAAAACGGATACAATATTAAACAAATATTGTTAAAGATAATATATAATGCCTATTTAATTATTTTACCATAATGTTACACATAAATTGTCGACAAAACATCAATATCAACTGAACTCCGTTCAGAATCGTTTTTTCGTTAGCAATGGTTAACCGTTGCTGACAGATATGCATTAAATTACCTATAACGGTGGTTGCACCCGTCGCCGTTATCCTGGGACGTCTTTTTTTTTTTTGATCTGACTTTTAAATTCCCACAATAGTCGTGATTGGTGGAGAAAACGATTTTACGGTTTACCCACGGTTCTTAATAGCTACATCACCTCGCATTGGAAACCCCCAAGCACACCACTGCGCACTACTCTCGCTTATCAATATTCACCTTATTTCTCCGGGTCTTGTTTCACCCGATCCGTTTGTTCGTCGCTTTTCTCTGGGTGACTTTTTTTTTTTTCTCTATACACTCGATAATCGAACACAATACGATTTTTAGCGATCGGATTTCATTCGTTCTCGTTGTTCTTCCGGGCCGCGAAATCCATCGCCCATACGAGCGGGCCCAGAGCGTCGTACGCAACGTTTTAGCGCGGTCGTTTCGTTTGTTCGGGCGGCGAAGAATGCGCGCGCATTAGCGGAATTTTCAACTCGGCTTTTTAATAATCGGTGTTAAAACTTTGCGCATTAAACATTTAAAACATTTTGTTACGCTCACCCCCTCCCCATCCTCAAACCCCGTGTAAAACACATTAATTTACACGAACGTTATGCGTTTTTGTCCGGAGACGACCCGAACGAACATTTTTTATGATAATTACGCGACGCGGCGTTTTTCTACACACGACTTTCGAACACGGTTAAGCGAACGAAGGGCATTTTCGTCTGTCTCCAACCCCTTGCCCCGACCGCCTCCTTTTTTTTTTCTTTTTGTTCTGTAATCGATAAGTGCACCGGGCAACGATGTCTTCTTAATGGCCGCGACGATTATTATGTGTGTGTACCGTGGCGACGGGTTCCGTCTCGTTGAAAACGTTCGGTAAATATACTGTTAACGAGGCAGTCGCTAAAATAATATTACGCCTTCGTGTACGAAACATTGGAATTATTAATAAATTGTTCAACGTCCAATACACGGTGCCTACGGTTAGAATAGACAAGTAAAAAAACATCATGTAAAAACGACGAGACTGCACGTTGACATACTTGTAAACGCGATATTTATCTCTATAATAACCGGGGAGAATATTAAAAAAAAAAAAACCCGAGAAAATTGTCTGTATAAAAAAAAACGGGACCCCGACAATGTGTAAGGAATTATAAATTGTTTTATTAAATTCCCTCTGGAATCTCGTAAACGTTCGGACTTATAAAATCGCGTCCTAAAAAAAAAAAAAAAACTAAAATATGCGAATTGAAACTCCTCGATTCGTGATTCGAAAATACACGAAACTGATTTGCATCGAACCGAACATTACGCCGTACATAGTCTTAAAACGGATCGGAATTAATCGAAGCTCGTAGACATATTATACTAATATCATTTAATATTATATCGTGCTGTGTTCTGTCGTGTTCGCAGTGTGCAGAGTACAAGGCTGGACCGCCTGCCACCGGAAATGACCCGGTTCATATTCCGGAGGCTGTCCACGGAAGACCTGTTGCAAGCGTCCGCGACCACGGAACGGTTGTACCGAGTGGCCCAACACCACATGTACTTGTCCGACGGCGCGCTGATGGTGCGCGGCGGCCAGGACACGACGGCCACCGTGGCCGGGATGTTCGACGTGCGGAAAGTGTCGTCGCTGTACCTGTTGGACGTGTACGATTTCGACCGGGACGTGTCCCGGAAACTTTTGTACCGTGGATGCAATCGCGCGGACGACGACGACGACGACGACGCCAAACACGGTGACGATAACGACGACGACGACGACAGCTGCGATATCAACGGCGATGCAAACGACGACGACGACGACGACGACGACGTCGACCAAACGGTAACGTTGGAAGTGTTGCACGTCGGTTACGCGAAGCACATCAACTACACCGACCTATCGGCCGACGGCGTGCGGCGACTGCTGTCCCGCGTCCGAGCTAAACGCGTGTGCTTCAGCAACGTGTTGATGACGGGCGACGACGTCGTGGACGTGGTGTCGGCGCTCTTCGAGGCGGGCCGTTGTGACGACGAACAGCCGCCAGTGCTCCGGTGCTCGTACGACCGGGCCGACGACGCCGACGTGCTCGCCCTGTTGGACTACGTGGAGTGCACTTGCGCCGGCCTGCTGGCCGAGTTCCGGGTCACGGTCCGGAGGCCCGCGCCCCGCGCATACGCCGTCTACCCGATGTCTCGCTCAGCGACCGTGGCCGTCGAAGATTTCAACTACTTCAGCGACGACGACGACGAAGACGACGGTTACGTCGACGGTGACGGCGACGACGACGGCGCCGGTGCAGACGCTGAGGCAAAAGAAGCGGCCGAAGCTGCCGAAGCCGCGGCCGTCATTCCCGCGGAACTGCCCGAGGACCTGCTCGTGTTCACCGCGGCCGACTGTTCGGGGCTCAAACCGGCCGCGTACAAGAGACTGGGCACCGCTTGCCGTCAGTTGCGCAGGGTTTGCCTGAAGGCCGCCCGGCAAGCGGACGACGAGGGGTTCGTGGCCGTGGCCAGCATGCCGTCGCTGCAACATCTGGACATAGAAGGCCTGTCTAGCGTCACCTCCGACGGTCTGCTCAATGGTAAGTTTCGTTCAAACACTAATTCACAAGTCCCGAGTGTACTCTGAGCGTATTATACCGTATTAGTCGTCTCCCGGGTGAACAATATTGTATTCACCGATAGAATGCACGGATTCGTTTTAAGCGTATCATGTTTAGTTTCGATTTTGATTCCACATAACCCCTCTTAATGTTAACCGTTGTTGTTGACGTAATGAGAACGAGAAAATAAAAATAATAACCGTCACGCGGTAAACGTTCTTCTTTGATAAAAAAAAATGTTTGACGCGTAAGTACCGTTTGTCCCGGGTTCAATCGCGGAAGTTTCGAAACGCGTTTTTCGTCGCGTCATTACGCGCGAGACACGCGGCTACGCGTGGCGGAGTTCTCGCGAAAACCCGGTGCGGGGGCTATGCAGTCTTCTCGACCGCGCCGACGGGTGAAAAACCAACGGGGGCGATGGGGGGGGTTTACGGCACCCGAGCCCCGCCGTTGCGGCCCGTGTCCACGATGCGGTACAACAATTCGTTTTTTTACGTGCGCGAGTTTCGCCGGACCCGGAAACCGGCGGTCCGCGTACTCGACCACGTGCCGGCGCGACCGCCGAGGCTCGCCGGGTACCCGGGCCGACGGCCGGAGTGGTTACGCGGCAACGTGCGGTTACGCAACAGCGGACGCGGGCTCCGCGCGCGCCGACGGACGCGTTCTATTTTTTTTTTTTATTTTTTTTTTTTTTTTCTGTTTATTGCGAATCGAAAGTCCCCGCGGTCGGCGTTTCGTCGGCGTCTTGACGTCACAGTAACGATGAAAGGGGGGAAGAAAAAAAAACCGCTCGCGCGCACAACCGATAACGGATCGACCGTACAATTATTACGCATCCGATCCGGATGGCTCGTGTGCGGCTATCGCAATGACTTACATTTCGTTCCGTTATCGGGGTAAAATTCGATAGTGTTGTTATTAATAGTGTTCCGATTAGGAAAAACAAATAGAAAAAAAAAACCCGTTCTAATCGCACCGATGACGCTCCGAACAATTATTACACAACGATAACCGCGTAACGCTGCAGTGACCCTGAAACGGCAATTTTTTTTTTTTCTATTCGCTATCACCTTTGCAGTCGAATAGTTGACCGGTTTTTTAATGTTATCGCGACATCATAATTTGACGAAAACGACGCGATAAAAAAAAATCCTATCGTTCACGGGGCGCGTGTACGACGAACGTTCAATTGCCCGCCGCATTCAGCCGCGCGTAACCGAAGTGATAATTCGGCGACATTGAGCGAACCGGTATTATTTTACCGGGTTTTTTTTTTTTCTTTCCTATAAATTTCGAACGCTGAAACTCGTAAACGATCGTTTCCGGACGTATATATTATAAAACGTGTACACGTCGCCGGACATTTTAAATGTTGAACATGTTTCCCTGTCCGGAACACACGCGCGTTTATATTCATATCGAAAGTTACTGAAGTTTTTATAACTGATCTTGGTTCTTTTTTTCTTTTCTTTTTTTTTTTTTGTGATCGTCCATAGCGTATTATAGCGCGAGAAACGTATTGGTTTTACTAGCTATGTACGTGCGTGTTCAAATTTTGATACAATTCGCAGCGTTTCGCGTACTGGTTTACGTACGGTTTTCCTCCGGCTCCGTGCTAAAACCAAGACGTTTTAATTAATTGTTTTTGTCGCAATTAATACGATTTTCGATTTCCAATATTAAATTCGATCGTGATACGTTTCACCGAACTTTGCTGTGGGAGTTTTTCGTTTGCGGTGATTTATCGCTACGTACGCGGATGTAAACTTAAATCATCTTTTATATCCTATCTTCCCGACTCCATACCATCTATACAACGACCCACCCGTGGTCGGGTGTCTTCGAGACAATAGTATCTCAAACACGTAGATATTATTGTGTCTTGTACATAATATCTTGTATCGCGATAGTTAAATCAATGGATCCATAGAATGATTTTAAAGTATCGGACTCCCATGAATGCACCCGAAGGAGGTGCGGTTGGGGTAATTTCCCACCGCGGGCTTATCGAAAATACCTACGAAAATGTTTCCAATACAAATCCACCGCGTCTTATTATTGCGAGCGCGACCAAATCTTATTAGTATTTGAATTTTAATCGAATCGAATGTTTTTAAATGCAAGCAAGTATCGTTAACTTATGTTGCAACACTATCGTTACATACCATAAGTATTTATAGACATTCAGTGTCAAAAGTGTCTAGATACTGAAAAATCAATGTATTTACTATTGTGTATCGAGTGTCTACGGATACTCATTTTTAAGTATTTTGCCCATCCCACCCGTGGTGCGCACTGTGTCGGATTTTCTTTTTTTGTTAACGCTCTTTATTTTTAACGCAGCGTGACGGATAATATACTGTTGACATTTTTTCGTTATTTTTATTTTTTTTTAGTAGTAGTTTACGCGTATCGGGTGTCAAGTAGTGGTTATATTATATCGAAAGCGAAAACGCCCATGTGACATTCGAGTAAACCGTCGTTTTTAATAGTGTTAATGTAATTATTGTGAATTCGTTAAAACCTAATACAAATTAGAGTAGATATTTATAAGGTTTATCAAACCTTTAAATATACATGCGGATGTGTACTGAATATACTGAAAAGTATTCTCTAAAAAAAGGAAGGTGACTTCAAAATGTACGAAAACTTTAAATTGTGATTTAAAAATTAATAAATCCTAAAACGCGCGTGAGATATCCCGAAACGCCAAAATATCCAAAACGGAGTCGTTAAGGCAAAATCATTTCAGGCACGACCTAACGCACATTTCGGTGTAAACCAGCTGTTTTTTTAACCAACCAATAAAAACATGCAATTGCGTAAAAACAAAAAAAAAACTTGTTATAGCAATAAGTGCAACTGTACAATTAAATTGCAATAATTTAAAATAAAATAATTCCGCGTTTGCCCGGGTCGTACAAAAGTTCACGCGATTAAAATTGGTTCACTTTAAATTAATTTGTGATTAAAAAAAAAAATTTACACATGCATAAAAGCCGGTTTTTTATTGAACGATCGTGTCCTTGCAGATAACAGCGAAACTACAACATTGTTATGTAACTGTAGAGAATGTCATTATTTCCTTTTTCCGACGTGTCTGAAACGATCTTTGGCCGTATTTGGCGCGTAAAAAACCGTTTAACGATATTTTATTCTCCCGCAATATACCTATTCATAAATCACTTTTTTTTTTTAAATTTAAAATTCGCGACATTATATATTGTATATTGTTTTTAAGTTCATCGTTGGAGTGGGCAAACGAGACCCTGTGACCATTCCGTGTATTTCAGTCGGTAAAAAAACAACCGCAAATGGGAAAAGGTCGCGCGGCGAAGGGCGGTCGAGAACCACTGTTCTTCACCGGTACGGGACTCTCTCTCTCTCTCTCTCTCTCTCTCTCTCTTAAACGCAGAAATTAATTAATAACATTACATTAATAATTGATTATTGTCAGTGATAGTCCGGAATCGGCGAAACAAAAACAAAATTCATACGGTTGTGTGTTTCGCCTTTCACTGTCCGTAAATTTGTTAAGAAATAACAATTAAATCGTACGACACTGAAATGAACTTTCCGAGCAAACTTGTCTACTTGACTTTTCTTAATTGCATTTCTGTGCTCGCTTTTTTCAGTATTTTTACTAGGTATACGATATTGATGTGTGCTTTTTTTTTTTTTTATTTTGTTCGTGAGTTTTCGGCCAAAAAGGCATGCTCGTCTTATCGTCAACGAACCCAAAAGAAATTTCTCGTAAAGATGGATTTTTTTTTTCAATTCGCTTTTGGTTTTCCTATGATGATTAACTGCGGTGGTTTTTTTTTTCATCCGTCTGTGAACAATTTTTCTCCGAGAAAAATCTTACTCCGATCATCAAACATCCAATGGTCATTGTGTCGGTACAGCTTATCTGCGCTCTACTCGGTGCATTATCCAAATTTTTTCGATTTTCCGTGTAGTTTCCTTGATAACCGGGGAAAGACGCGCGGAAAACGGTAATGTTTACGACGAAAAAATAACCGTTCCATTACCCGTCACGGGCGTCGTTTCAAACTGAAACCATGGGATGGCGAGCGTTTCGAATGATATTTTAAATCGATTTTGTGGTCGACCTAATGAGGGTTACAATCGACGGGTCGACGAGTTTCGGGCGACTGTTCGTCAGAGTCGCACAGAAATGTATCAAATACAAATTTAGAAACGTACTACGCGATCGGCGGTGCGGATTTTCCGACACGTTCGGATTAAATATAACCGATAGGTACAATTCATTGTTATATCGGTTGCGGCCGTATTACGCGAAACGAGTCGTGGGAAGGCGCACTCTGCGAGAGAACTGCGGCCCCGGTTTCCGTAAGCGTATTTCAAACAATAGACCGGCTATTGTCCCCTTAAACAATCAAGTACAATTGCAATGTATTTTTAACGGGATTTCTGTTTGAATTCAGAATGTTAACATACGTATATATATATATATCAGCGCCGTTAGCGAGGGGTTTTAGTGGGGTGTGGGCGGGCACGTCCCAGGCCCCGTGCCTCGATAATTGCCCCCTCGGGTTCGGGGCCTCGCGTCCGAAAAACGAAATCGCGAATGATAAAAATATCGGAACGCGGAAACGCGCGAGATTTCGCCCCGGGTCCTGGGGTCGACCGCGATGGATTTTATGCGTGTACCGCGCGCCGTCGACCGGATCGACGACCCGTGACCGCGGTCCGCTGGTCACGCCGCGGATACCGAGACGTTTAAACCCGTTCGCGTTCAGAAGTCTAAATGTAAGACGGTTTTGTTTTTCCATTGCGTTTCTCCGCAGATTACTCGCGGGCCACGGTAATCAGCTATCGATTTTCCGCCCCGATAAAAACGATTGGACGGCAGCCGTTACCCCGTAACGGGCTGCGGCCGTGTCGCTCGACCCGCCGCGTTTCCGTCGGACACGCGCACTTTACGATAACATATTACAATGCCATGTCGGCGCGCACAACGTGTCGTTATCGCCGACTCCCGAAACGCGCACGGTCCGCGTATTCCTGTACAGGGTGTGCCGCGAAGATACGGACATTGGCGATATCTCGGAGGGCGCGAACTTATTTCGGGGTTTCTGTTTCTCGGCGGTTTAAGAGGAACGAACGGCTAGCCACCTGAACCGGTTAGTTCCCATTGCGAACCCAACGCCCGAGCGCCTGAGCGTCGCCGCACGAGTAATGAAGTTCCGTTCCGGCGCTATCCGAACGCGGTGTGAAATATTTCGCAACGGGAAAATCGGAAGGTTCAACGCCGTCTATTTGTGGGATTTTTTTCCCCTTCCTCGCCCCCCCCCCTCCAACGCAGTTTGTCATTTCGCAATCGAAATGCGCGGACAGCCGGTCGACCTCCGAAAAACGGCGGCGAAAAAATTCCGAGACGAAAAACGTCGCGGCGTCCGCGCGTTGTCGCGCTCCGGGACGGCGGCGGATCCGACCGTTTTACCGACTCGTCCGCGTATAAATACGCACGGGTGTACGTATTCCCGGTGTGATGTTGCGCGAATCGATCGGCCCGAGTCCTTTGCCGTCGCCGCCGTCTACTCGCCCCGGTGCGGCCCGGTGTATATTGTTATCGGTGTACGGCGTGTGCCGTTCGCGAAGTCTGCGAGTCAAACGATTACCGCCGGCGACAGTTTTGGGGCTGGTGAGGGGAGAGGCGGAAGGGGAGGCGGCGAAGTAATACAAATAAAATCGAATAAACGCGCGCAGGTATACACGTACATACACACACACACACATACACACACACACACACACACACATATATGTATATACGTACCCACACACACACGCGCGCGCACGAGTACGGGGTACCTTTATAATACCTATACGTACCGTGTCGATAGACCGAAAAGGCCCCCCCTTCACGCGACCACCCCGAGCCGCCCAGAGCATTGTGCCGAAACATTTATTTTCGACTTCAAAGGGATACGGGGGCCGTAAAACTCCTCGCCGTGGAAATAATAAATAATAGGAAACGCGCGCGGACCCATGCAGCAATCGAACACAATGCTCGCGTCCCGATCGATTTCCGTCCGCCGACGCCGTGGCAGCACATAAGTCGGGGCGAGTTTCGGTTTTTTTTTTTTTTTTTTTTTATTTTTTAAATCGGGTCGAGTCGAACGTTCGTGTAAAGTCGAGTACTCGAGTTTACGACTACCGGGGAAAAAAAAAAAAAATATATATATAGGTATTTACAATACGAAAATGAAAATATAACGCCGGGACGTCGGGTGGTCCGCAGAATCGTCGCTAACGGAATACGATTCTGGGCGAAGTTCGCCGGCCCGAAATCCCGAATCGTCCGCCCCGTTCGCTTGGCGAGGTGATGTAATTTTGATTCCGAATTGTTCCCACCGGATCGAATCGTCCCCGGGGACATTTGGATCCCGGTTTTTTTTTTTTTTTTTTTGTAGAGACGCATAATTCACCCGTTGAGATAATTTAACTTTTTTACAAGACGGACCAGACATTTTCCAAAACTGATCAAATTCTCCCCCTCTGGATCGAAATATCATCGAAACGTTTAGTTGTCGAGTTCTTTTTTCACGGTGACTGCGGGCATACCTTTTTACTTCGCTAGGGATTGAATTTCTAAAATCGATACTTACTTAGTTACTTAGCTATTATTAACGCATTTTTAATTTGTTGTTCTCCGTCCATTCTTTTTTTTTTTTATTATAATTATTATACAATATTTACCTACTTCAAAGTAATTTTATTATTAAAGATAAACTTAGCCGGCGGTGTTAATTTATTGGCTGTATTTTATAAACTGTGTCGTGTAAAATTGAATTCTATTTTTTATTTTTTTGTTTTGCCTCGTGTATACTTAGAACCGTGTTCATTATTGTCCGCAGGTCTCCGGAGAGCCAACGGACTGCAATCATTGGGCCTGCGCGATTGCCCGTACGTGACAGACGACGTGTTGCACCGGGTGGGCGAACTGAGACGGTTGCGCCTGCTCCGGTTGGACCTGACCGAGAGCGGCAAGACTACGGCGGCCGGCGTGGCGGACATGCTGTCGGGCTGCCAGCGGGTCCAGGACTTGGACCTGACGCTGCCGCTGAACGCCGACTACGTGGACGCGGTCGCGCGGGCCGCCGCCCTGGACCAGCTCCGGACGTTCCGACTGACGTTCGAACGGCTGTCGTTCCAGGATCACCTGGACAACCAGCCGACCGACGACGGTTGGTCGGAGTCGTTGGCCGCCCGATTCCGCGGCCACGTCGACTTTCGCGTGCGGCAGACGTTCACCAAGATCGCCGTGACCGTCGACTGACCCGTTATCGTACACGATAGTATTTTAACGGAAAACGTTTGTTTTATCATCGTTCGAGTTATCACGCTCGGGTGTACATTGTACATTTATTCTTATACGCTCATAATAACAATATCATTGCGCCGATCGGTGTTATATTATTTATTTCGAAACTAGTCAAAAGTAATAGCATACCGTATTTTTTTATTTTGCGTATCGCAGGTAGTGCATTATTTGTTATCGTCGTATTTACGTTCGTTATTATTATTATTATAATAATTATTGTTGTCGTTTTCGTTACTGGGAGAGTGCGTCCATTCCATTCTCTCTCCAGATATTTGTTGTAAATAATCGTTTCTCCACTCTTCCGCCTGTTTTTTTTTTTTTTTTTTTTTTTACATGACCTTTACATTTTATATTATACTTGTAAATACACATAATAATTATTTTAATTTACCGAAAAACTAATTGTTGTTAAAACGCCTCGCGCATCGTATTAATATCTTTATAAACACGATGACCGGAACCGAATAAACTGATAAAAAAATAACAACCTTGTTGTTTGCGTTTGTTTTTGTTTTTCCTTTCCTCTATTCTGTACGGTTCGCGAAGTGATCTAGTTACACGCCGTCATGGTCGCCTACGTTCCGATACGTTTCCCAATGGCCACGGGCACTCGTGGTGAAACTACTAGTGTGCTCCTCCCGAATTGGAAAAACACAAAACACGCGAACTTCAAACGCTTATCAAATATAAATTACTACACTGTGTTGCGTTCGAATTGTTTTTCGCTAAGCATAACTTTACGATGAACATCGTTTAAAGTTCTCAACAATCCGTTCTCGGCCAAAGCAATTTCATCCGCATAAAACCAAATAAAAATCGGGTAAAAAAAAAAAAACGTCAAACGTATATAGACAACGAAAATTGCCATTACGATTTAAACGTTCGTAATCGCTTTCGGAAAAAGATAATATCAAATATTCCGGCGAAGGTTTCGGACATCTACGGTTGTCCGTTGAGCGGATCACCGTGAATAACACGAAATCGAAAACAATGAAATCATCATCTGAACACGAGTAGTCACACGACCGGCGTCGCCGTAGTGAGTCGGTTTGAATAATAACACGTTGTATTAATTGACGTGGACTCTATCTAAAAACAACAACATTACGAGATTCGCGACAACATGCACGTACAAGGCGGAACAAGGGGTACGCTATGCGTGACCATAATACCGCGGTGTACGCTAACTCGGTGGTAATCAAAAAACGCCCCGTTATATACACCACGTGCGCCATGAAATCGGGTCTTGCGCAATTCGGACCGTGTACGAACTCGAACGAACGAACGAACGCGAACGCTGGCGAAAGAATCGGTGTGAATGGTCTGGGTAAACACGAACGGGCGCATTCGCTCACGCTCGGATTCGTTCGCTTTGTACGCGATAGAAGCACGGATGATCGAAAACCTCCCTTCGCTCAGTTCAAACGGCCCTGGGCCGATTATTCGACCGTCCGTGGTGATTCTGACAAGCAATCGTGGAAACGGACAGACGAAACATGTTTGCAATCAATTAATTTATAACAATTAAACGCGATTGATCAGGGAACCTATGGATAGCATAAGCTAGGCGAGAAAATAAAAACAAACGAACATACTCCGCACGATGGGCGAGATTCTATAGCCGTAATTATGACCTTGATAAATCTGTTCATATTTTAAATTCTTAACTCGAAAACTTCTTAACTTAACATTCTCTCACACCGTCACGCGAACGCTAGCAATCATGAATCCAGCTGATTCTCATTAGTCACTTCGGTAGACAATTTTTTTTACAGAGTAAGTCGCTGGGCAGACACCGTATTTTTATCATAATACTTTTGTTATCTCAAAATCGTCAGCACTAAATCGTATTTAGATATACCACAATTCTTGTCAAGTTAGTAATTTTGTTCAACTAATTAAAGTTAAGTAACTTTAATATAAAAACTAATAAAGTTTAAATAGAAGTTAGTTTCTAAAATTGGCTAACATTCTAACTTAGTTAGTGAAAATAAGTACTTAACTAAAGTTAGAATAAAAGTTAAAAATTAGTTTTGTTTAATATAATTTACCACACCGTAACGAAATTATTATATGTATTAAACGCGTACAACTCGACTGATTCTTAATAACCAGTAAATTGTTCAATATGTTGCACATGGCGAGAACATACTTGAAACATATTACATGAAAGGTGAAACATACTTGACACATAATTCACACAGTCACGTGCGTCACCTACACGCTTGCATGAATCATACGAATAAACAAGACGCAGACGCACAGTTAAAAATCAAAATTATTGTAGATTATCCTAAATTAATCTACGAATCTGTGATGACACCGGCGGTCTCGCTGGTATCTAAGATCGCTTTATGACTCACCTTGTTAACCAACCATGGACCTAAATAGGCCTATGGTATAAACAGTGTATTACAAGACATTAAATATGATAAGTAATTTAAATTATATTATCACACAATACTGTTTTACGGAATAACGGAACATTGTGAGGAAAATCTGCGTTTTTTTTTATATGATTACAAAATAACTCTTTATTTTTAACGCGTTAGATTAAATAATTGCATACATTAAATCTTACTTGTTAAGTTCGATTGACATTGTGAATTAAAACCAACTAGGTAAGTGGGTAAGAAATTTACTTTAAAAGTGACTTTCCAACTTAGCTTTAACTTTCTTACTAGTTAGTGTCTGGCTTTGGGTCTACTATACATTTTAATTAATAACATCGTACAAAGTACTTGTATACAATTTGCTGTGTCTGTACTTTGAAGTAGTAAAGTTTAAGAATAAGGTATCGTGGTAAACACCGATATCGTACGTATCGCTAGGGTTCACTACCATAGGTATTGCCGTACCGTTGTCTTTTCACAATGTGCCGCCTATCCGCTCTGGCCTAGTTGGCCAGGCGCTAAATCTATCACTGGACACGATAGACATTTCGTGATGTACAAGATTCACGACTGTCACGGTCAGTGATTTTATCAGTTACATACACAACTAGCATGGAAATCTGAAGATAAATACGCCAGCCAACTTTTCTTTTCATGAAATTTCAATAAAATCAATTGGTATACATACCACTGTGCATACAAATGCGCAGTGCACAACCGAAATAGTTGCCATCATACCTATAATAAATTTAGCCACAGACGTACCTATATCGATCGAGTATTATTATATTTCGCCACCAGAGGTAAAAATATGAAACGAGAAAAAAACCACTTAGGCGCCTGGGTTATTATTTTCCGGCCATGATTCGATGTCCCGGCGACAATTCCGTTATTCGCTATGTATTATGGCTACAAATCGCTGGCCCGAGTGCGTTTTCCGGTTAAGTCGAAGTGATTTTCGAGCCACGTCCCTTTTCGACTTACGTGCGCACCGCCGTCCAAGGCGTGGTGGGGCAGGTAAAATGGGAGGGGATGCAATCGTTCGGAACACTTATTAGTTTCATACAAACAACCCGTAGTAATGTCATATTATATTTTCGCGTGTGCGTGCAAGTGTGTGTGTGTGTGTGTTTACACGGGTTTTCCCATCGTATATACCGATTTACGTACGTATAGAGGTATATAATAAATTCGAACGTTATACCACCCGTGGTGTGCAATTACTGACGATAGTATTTCGTCCGGAGGGCGTATGTAATTTGCGCCAAGAACAACCCGAAAAAAAAAATATTTGTATGTAATTTGCGCCGCATCTAAAAATTAATTTTGATAATTCACGCCAATTTTTAAGGTTGTAGCCTGCGCCACATAAAACTAAATAAAAGGGCATTGAAGATGGCACATGTAACCAGTGCCATCTTGAACCTACACAAATTGTAATTTGCGCCACTTAAAAATAACTAAACAATTTTTTTTTTTTAATAAATTAACATATTGTATTTTTAATCGTTGATCAATCAAATTAATTTTAATAGTTAGTGCTTTATGTTTGTTAAATAGGTAAGTACAGTTTCGGTTAGTAATAAAACATAGTTCCATCCGTGTAAATAATCTCAGATTGACCTGGAACTTTTTATTTGTGTCACATGAAAATATTATTACATGACAGTTTGGATCATTGATTAATACAAATTGCTCATTGAGATCAGTTTTCAAATCCAAATTGCTTAATTATAGTATTTCGCAATTCTACCATTGTTTTTGGTAATGGTGGCACCGTTTCTTCTACGTTATAAGTATTTCGTCGAACTAGTGATATATCATCGGTAGTGATGGTCTGTAAATCAAATAAATTTTCAGAAATTTCTGTTCGTAATATCGTACTTGGTTTAATATACAGATTTCCCATAGCTTACATCCATTTGTATACATTTTTCTGTCTATATTTGATTGATCATGCCTGTAACGTTCATTTACAATTTTAACTATTTCTACCATATTTTCTAAAGATATAAACACTTTTACAGTGCAAGTTCTGACAGTACAACGCCATCGTGTTGAAAAAGTTTTAGATTCATGAACTTTTCGAGAAATACAATTTGTAAATAATAATAAATCTTTGTCTCTGATACTTTTTATAATTTCACCAATATTTTTATTCATTACTCATACGTTTATATGTGAAATGTGAACGCACACGTGATTAATATCGGAATAACTGTAAATATCACGATACTTCTGTTCAATATTTTAACAATAAATTAATCATTTTTATTAGATTGGACTAAGATTAGACGTAATCGATCTCGTCTCAACTTATTACAAGTAGAACACAGAAATATTATATTATATCGATGCAAATATACGATATCGGTAAATCTATCAGCTGATAAATGCCAACAATTGTAGTTGAAAGTGTGGTGCAGATTTTAAATATTCCATTTCGTTTTTGGTCCTGGCGCAAATTACCAAAATTAATTTTTAAATGTGGTGATAAATACATGTTATATTTATATACTCGTAGGTTGGCGCAAATTACATACGCACTTACATTGATCTATTAGTGGCACAAAATCTCCCCGTCTGGAAACCCTTCTGTAGACGACCAATCTTGCCATCGATAATACCACGATGTATTAATTTGTTTTTTTGCTCCATACAGGGTGATCAACATAACGCAATGCACTCATTAGTCAATATCTCGGAAAGTGTTAACTGTTTCGAAATTAGTTTTTTAGATCATTCAAGAAATAAGAAACTGTAAAATGTATCAAACGATTATTATTTTTCGCCCTTATTTAAAAGAATGAAACTGTTTCTTACCCTTAATACCTAAACGGACACCTACATATAAATAAATCCATAAATAAATAGAATATTAACTTAAATCAATTTTGGTGTTCAGATTTTTTTATTTCCATCAACCCGTTTATGAGCTATTACACTTTTAAGATTAAGGGAATAGTGGTAAAACACTATTCAAATGCCGCGCGCAGTGGTGCCACATAAATTATACACGACTACTCTCCCCTTGCCAAAACTTAAAAGTGGAATGTTTCGTCAACACATTGAAAATGTCAACACTGAAATTGATTTAAACTTATATACTATCTATTAATGGAAATTTTAATTCAAGTAAGGTGCGAGTATAAGGGGGGAGGATTTAGGGGTACAACCTCCCTCCGAAATTTCATGAAAATTATGATGAAAGTTCCTACATTTTTAATAGAGTCTCAAAAGTGGTTTCTGTCAATGAGGGAAGATTAATACAGTTTTGATTTTATTTTTTATTTTATTAATAAATAGGTATACGAGTGTATTGTTATTATTGTAATTTCTAATTTTTTGTGGTTTTCCTGCTTTTAGAAAACTTTAACTGATACGGCGATATTGCTAAGTCAGCATTATCATCACAATAATATGAATTACGTTATCACTTAGGCTGTATTCACTAAAAAAATAATTGTAAAACTACTTAAAGTTTTACTGAAGTTTTACTAAAAGTTAGTAATAATTATAATCATTTTCAGGCATTTTTCACGCTGCGGCACGAATTGTTCGGCCACCGTGACTTAATTGATTATTAAATCGATATGAAATGGATACTAGAGGACCGATGTCGCATATAATTACTATCAATATTCGATAACTGGTTGATATTTTCATAAATACTATGATTTTACCGAATGTGTCATTTTTATACAGTCGTATGCCGAATATTTTAATATTTTTGTAAATATCGAATGAGTTTGGACAGGAAAATTAACTTAATTTGTATGAAATGTGATAACAACAAGCGGGACGCAGTTTTTACGTATGGTTGCTTAAAACCGTCATCGCTGTGTCATAAAAATACAAATTAAAAAAAGGCTAATACTGAGAACGGGCGCGCCACTATTGTAGGTGGGAAGTCGAGAATATAGGATACATAAAATTATTTAATTTATACCAGAAAGCAATGACGAATCATTGTCGACGGACAACGATTCGGAGCGGAGTTCGGTTACATATGTTTTGAAAGGCCGTGGTCGTGGTATTTACGATTTTCGTCGAAATTTGATTTTAAATCTCTTATAAAAATATTACATTGCACTCAATTATTATTTTCTCCGACCGCTGGTAAATAATATAAATGTGAAATGCACGGTGCTTAAATTTGGGTTTATGTAGAACAATATGTTTTGACTGTGTGTATAGGTATTATAATTTATATTATGCAAGGAATGCGTGTTTGTGTACCGTTATACGGTAGCGGAGATTGAGACTATGA